TTCATGGCTCACTGTCATAACCAAAACTGAAGCCTTCCCTTAGAAAGGTCAAGATTGCATCATGACTTAAAAACAATGCTTGCTTTTAATAAAAAGGAGCATTCACTTAAGAAAAATTCAAGAAGATTTTGGCAGGGTAGAAGATAAAATCCATGTGGAACCTTCTGTAGTTTATAGTGTAAGCTGTTAAATTAAAGTTTGCAATGTTGTAGATAGCTTTAGAAAAATCATGTCAATAGCGCAGGAAGCCTGAACTTTAAAATATTGGATTAAACAAGAAAAATCAGTGTAATTCCAAAGTCTAGATTATACATATGGTCAGTAAATAAATTCTTCTTTTAAGAAAAAAGGTATAATAGTTTTACGAGTAACCCAAATAGGTTTTCAAAGAACTTTGAGCCAAGATACAGTTTTGGGCAGGTTCAAGTTTACCTTAAAAGGCTTGAGTAAGCTTGTTCACAATAGCAATCACAGAAAGCTCCCAAATTTCCAAAAATCCCAGTCATACTCCACTCTTGGGACTAATCTGAAATGGTTGGAAAAAGAACCATGTGAGCTATGAACCCCAATAAATATAAGTTATAGTTTGGGGCCATGGTAGAACTCTTAACCAATTTAAGAAGATCATTCGGTTAATCCATCATAAGCTTGTAGTTATAACAGAATACAAAAGAGTAGGTTTAGCTGAATCAACCTGTTGTCAGTAATTGAAAAAACATCAAGCAGGGACTTATCAATAAAGCTATTAGCAAACAAGCACATTCATTTCATGCTTCAATACTTAATCTCAGCAAGTATGTCTACTACCTTAACCTTGATGAAAGAAAAGTATTCTAGGGATATGTGCTCAATACAAATACACTGTCATGGGGTCAACTAATCAATATATGGTACACTCACATTCTGCCAGAACTTGTCATGGCATACCCAACTGTGCATTGGTCAATAACAATAACCATGGCTGCTCACTAACAATAACCATGGCTGCTCACTTAAGCACAATAGTACCTAGCTTTTAGCATAGGTCAATAACAATAACTATTTGAGTACTTAGTTGTATATGTTTCATTTTGCTTTCAGATATCTGTGCAGCAGCTGATGCAATCTTTTAATTTCATTACTTCTCATGCGTGTCTAATATGATTGTTTCTGGTTTGACAATATTATTATGTGGTTTTGTTTTATTTTCTGGTTCATTTATAATTAGGACTTCTTGCAAAGGTATTGCATTTTTGCATCAGAAAGAGATCTTAGACTTCTTCTTGTTGATACTTAGGTCAGGGATTTGCCTCAATATCACGCTGTTGCATCAAATACATCTGGTTCAACCCCAAAAGATTTGTTTGAGTTGCTGAAGGATTAGAAAAACAGGTATTTCACATATAACCTCCAGAAATATGCTTAAAATGGTCTCTTTTACATGTTGCTTCATCTTTTATTGTTAGGTTCAAGTTCTGACATATTATGGATTATTAGGATCAAGTTCTTCTTGCATATAATGTTATACCAGTTTCTGTTTTTTTGGTATCACAAAAGGAGTGCAAATTCTAATGATTAAGATGTTTTATTTTATTAAAATGATAAATGTGGTGCATGAAAAAATTATTTTTAATTATCAGGTGATGGGTTTTTTTTTTACTTATCTATTAAATTCGAAATATTCATATTTATTATTTAATTTTTTTTATATAGCCTATTTATAATCTGTTGCATTTTAGTCTTTAATTTAATGCATTCCATTATTTATTGTTTTATATTTTCAATGCATTGAAAATTTACATTCATCCGCTGATTTTAATTTCTATTTCTAATTTTGCAGACTTTATTTTTTCAATTCTTTAGTTGATAATCTGTCCAATAAATATTGGTCATTTGAGGAGTCTCTTTTACATGCATATAATATTATATCAGTCTCTGTTTTTTTGGTATCACCAAAAGAATACAGATTTTAATGGTTAAGATGTTTAATTTTATTAAAATGATAAATATGTGGTGCTTGGAAAAATTATTTTTAACCATTAGGTGATGGGTTTTTTTATTACTTATTTATTAAATTTGAAATATTCATATTTATTAGGTTATATCCCCGATTCAGTCCCTGAACTTTCATTTTTGGACTAAAAATACCCTCGAACTAAAAAAAGTACTAAAAAAATCTCTAAACTTCAATTTTTGAAACCATTTTAGTCCTTCCGTCGACGGAAGTGCCAGATGGCACGTTAAGTTGCCACGAAATCAAGCTTTTTTCTTTCTTTTTTTCTTTTCTTTCCTTTCCTCTTTTTTTCTCCTTCTCTTTCCTTTTCTCCTTCTCTTTCCTTTTCTCCTTCCCCTCCCTACTGGGTTCGAAGGAACCCGGCACCAGCGCCTGGGTTCGTCGAACCCAGGCGCCCTGGGTTCCATCGAACCCAGGCGCCCTGGGTTC